TTCCGTCCCCCAACCCCTGGGGGAAGGATTGAATACCGCCCCCGGGCGCGCTTTTTTACTTTCTCTTGCCTCCGACCGATCTACCCGCCACCGTGGCCAGTGTGGGGTTTCGTAAGCTATCTCTCTCGGAAAACAAATCTTCTTGCGTGAAAGTTTGTACCTTGCCTCTAGTGGCTTAACTCACGTACTCAGGTTGGAGATGAATGCCAGAATTTTCTGTGACGATTCCCTTAAAGTGACGTCGGTTATCACAGTTGAGAAAAATGAGACTGTAGACGCTGTTGCAAGGTGATCCGCCCCTGAGGAAGCAAAAACAAATACCAAAAGCTTTCAAACTTATTTCGCAATTCATACCGGTTACTGTGAGAAAAAACTTTGGATGCAGGGACTAGGGAGCAGACGACGACGGTGAGAGAGCACAGGTACGAGCGAGACGCAGACTGCATCAAATGTGTTGACTAGAAGGTCACTAAGGGAGAGGAGTAGAGTCACGGAAGCGACCATGAGCCTTAGCGCCATTGGTTCCAACTTTGTGATACAGAAATGGTATAACCGATACTCCTGCAGACCAGTTCACTTTTCTTTCGTTCCGTCACGTGAGCATGAAATGTGTCATTAAGGCCAAAATTCATCATAATAATACATGTCAACAAACAACACAGCGAAAGTAAACAAAAGTATTATTGTCTAAATCAAACAATATTCAGAGAATAATTTAATTTCATTCACAGATACAAGGCAGCGCTTCAAGTGGCAAAGGCAGCAACAGAGGCAGGTCACATATCACTCGTGATGTGGTCGACAATTACGGTTCATAACTCATCCTTCTTGATTAGCTTCTCGAGGGTGATATCAAAGTAGAGAGTGGCCTTGCCGGGAATCTGTGGTGGTCGTCCATCATCACCGTATCCTGAAATATCCCCGCTCAGTGAACAGTTTCCTAGGGGTGAGGCCCGGTTTCTCACTCAAACGTACCGTATTCGGATGGGATGATCACGAGACGTCTTTCGCCCTCACACATGCCGGTCATTGCAATATCCATTCCCTTGATGACTTCCTGAAAGGAAAGGATGATAAAAACTGGGTTCCTAAGCAGAAGAAGCTGTACAGTACCCCTTTGTTGAGCCGGAAAATGAACGGAGCATTGCGAGAGAAGGACGAATCGACGAAAGTGCCATCCTCGAGGTGAAGCACGTACTGTTGGTGAATGGTGTCGCCAGTTTCGGACTTTCGACACTTATCCTCGTCGATTTTGTGAGTTACCTTAAAAAGCAGTTATTAAGACAAGTACTGGTAATATTGACCCCACCCGTACTAGTACACCCCATTGCTTACTGCTCGGCTGGTGCTTATTGCACCGACTTTACACTCAAGCTTCTCGGGTGACTACTAGTTCTTCACTCGCTGGTTAAGATGAGTCGGAAGATTTCTAGGCACCCAAAACAATCAGCCATCGAATAGCTGGAGAAGCTGAACACTTTCAGCTTCAAACAATCCATTTTGGGATGCGCCACGCACAGAGCTTCCATTCAGAATTACAGTGGCATTTGAAAGGGCTATGGCCTATACAATGACTTGCGGGGCTAGCCGATGGACAGTGTAAGTCAGTCTTCAAGCTAAAAGGATGGTAGACTTGGTTGGCCAGGGCGAGTTGAGGTCGGAGGTTTGACCCCAGGACTATGCGCGTATGAGGTGAAGCCACTTGACTCTACAGCACTCTGCCCATACACTCCCTAATCCAGAAATCAACCCCTTAAGCCTCTAACCAAGGGTGACTTGAATTCCATTACGCCATGCACTTCGTTTCCACTCGAAAGTACAGTTGCTTTCAACACAAAGTTCTGAAAACGCATTGATCTCATAGTATTGAGGTCACTGCTTCAACGCCCATTTATATGTTGATACATTCCTTTTAACTATTCTTTGAAGAAAAATTAATATTTAGCTAATCCAGAGGAGACTCGATCCTGTTGGCCTCATGAAGATGGCGCCCTCTAACCACTGTGACAACCCATTGCTTTGCTGGCCATCAAATTTGTCCAGTGTCAACATGCGGAGCAGACGAGTTCGAAAACGTCCTTCCGAAGGTTGTGCGGCTTATTCTTTACCTAATTCTAGGCCTTCAACCGTTGCAGGGTAAAGCGCGTTCACACCATGATTTATGTGTAATTTTCAACCCATCCCATTACTTATGCCATTACAAGAGTAACGACGAGAAGTGACCTACCAGCGTTGTTTGGTTGAGGGGCGGGGTTTGTAAGAAGGGCGTGGTATGTTATCAAACTACTGCAGTTCGACATAGGAAGATTTTTAACGAATAGAAGTACCATTGAATATATTCCTTACCCTAAGTATTTCCAGCAGATTTTCAAAAACTTAGTGAAAAAGTTCCATTTTTGTTATTGACATCCGGGTGACAGTG